TGCACCTAATATCGTGTCGAATATCATTTATTCAATTTTCTGTATAGTATTCCTGACTTTCGATCCAGTATGAATACGATTCTACCAATCGGACCAGGTGTGTGGGAACTTCGTGATCATCCGGGTGCTAAGCGCTCTCCAACGGTTCGTACAGTCAGTTTAGTAAAAGCAATTCCATCAGCTACACATATGGCACTTGTCGAATTAGCTCGACGAAATCTTCTTCACTTTGTTGTTTCTCAAAACATCGACGGGATTCATCTAAGATCTGGTTTGCCATCGTCATTGATATCCGAGGTTCATGGTAATTCCAATTTGGAAATATGCAAGAACTGTCACACGAAGTATTTTCGTGATTTTCAAACACGAACGGCCATCAAAGATCACGATCATCAGACCACTCGTAAATGTACCAACTGTAGTTCGACACTATACGATTCGATCATCAACTTTGGCGAGAGTATTTCACCACAAGAATTCGACGCAAGTTTTGAACATGCAGAAAAAGCCGATGTATGCCTCGTATTAGGCTCTTCAATACTCGTTCCACCAGCAGCGTATGTTCCGCAAAGAGTTAGTGAACGTGGTGGTAAATTAGCTATCGGCAATTTACAATTGACTTCATCAGCTTCATTAGCTCAACTCAATATTCACGCCTTATGCGACGATCTTATGCGAGGATTGATGGCTAAATTAGACATTCCCATACCCGACTGGGAGCTTCATCGACGAGTACGTGTTATCATTCAAAAACAAAGAATTAAGATTATGGGTCTCGATGTTGATCAAGACATTTCATATACACTTTTTTCGGGAGTGAGAATACGAGTTCGACAAGGAACTTTATCGAAATACGAATCTAAACAGCTAACAGGTCGAGAATCTATCGAACATAAAATACCGCTCAATGATAGTATTGGCAACATGGACGTTTACATTGAATTGCATTGGCAAGGCAATTACAATGAACCGATGTATACGCTTCGAACGCGATTAACAGATTCGATAAAAGACGTACACCTTTTTTATAATCCAAAATTGCGTGTCTGGCGGGAGCAATAAAGTGTTCAAGTAGAAAATCTAAGGAACAGTTTTGTACTTATCTTGCATGATTGATATTTTACTTCGAAAATTAAATGATTTTTTTGAGAATTGTTGTGTACATAAGTAAACTCTTGAGGGTGAGTGGGTGTAGATGTGGTAGGGGATAAAAGAATATACCCACCTTCACCGTTAATGAAAACATCATATCGAAATGGTGCAGAAATTTCAGCAATAGTAGCATCAAGTGCTTTTAAGTTTTCTTATTATTTGATAAATTTTGATTTGATATTTTTCGAATATTTCAGATGAGTTTTTATGTTTATACATTAACAGCACCGAGTTTTCGTCGAGAATTGTTTGCGTTGATTATTCCAAGTCAACGAAAAAATAATCTTTGAAAACTTTGTCTGCAATGATTAGAAGAAATCCTTTTATATATTCAATCGATATTACATCTTTTTCGTGAAATAAGAAGAGAAAAGAAAACAATAAAGAAAGTATAATGAATATTTACATGAGGAGTTCATTGTTGTTGAAAAATAATATGTATTCAAATAAAAAAAACACGTTCTTTTGAGAATTTTAATTGTCAAATTAGATTCTATAGATATAGATTATTTCTCTTTTTTTAATATTTGTTCGATTATCATCGACATACGTAGTTAAAAAGAAATAATATTATCAAAGAATTTGAGTGTTAAACAATTAATTCTTCTATTTTTGATCAATTTCGTATATATTATGATCTTTATTTATTTTATCGGTCACACGATAAATAATTTTACCGAAGGATTCAGGACTATACTCATATGTTTATTATATCAGTCTAGGGATAAATGAATTGCTACTTGTATTTCTATGACAAATAGTAGAAAATTTTAAGTTTTATAAAAATATCGATTTTGTGTCTTAACTAAATTTTCCTTATCAGCATCATATTTAAAAGATAAATGTCCAATGAATCATCGAATTACCATGGTCAAAAAAGTGAAGAGATGAGGAAAATCTTTTTATTGAAGGCTACGCTGAAATTTCAACTGTCTCACGGAATTGTTCGTAAAATGCTATACCTATTGATGGATGTTTTAGGAGTTTAGGAGAGATGTTTCGGTAAAATAGCTCGAAAATAAAAATGTGGAAACATCGAAAAAATCATTGTTGTTTTTAACACGTGCATTATTTTGTTTAGAATCTTATATCCGATGACATGAGTACAAATCTTTCAAAGAGCAAAGATGTATTAGGAAAACATAATTTTTCTAAAGTACGCTCAAAAATATTGACCGGGGTGTCAATTATAAAGTCACAGTTGAATGATTCAGTAGACGTACATCTTTTAAATCAGACACCACCAATTTTGTAGAGCTTAAAATTTTCTGTTTGATCATGTATAGAAAGTAAGACAAAAAAGCACATGTTCGTAGCTGATATGTATAATGGTTGATATTGAACGTTGTGCAGTCACTTTTATCTATCCGGTACCGGATGTCATGAATGCAAAATCATAATACTTCACAATGAGAAACCGGGATACATTTACTTTTTATCGTAATTACGCCATAGATCACTAGAGAAAGAAAGAAATTTGGCGTCGAAACGAATTAATATTCAAGAAAGCAGTGAAAAAAAATATTTTTCTCTTATTGTGCTCGCTATTTGACAAAAAAAAGAAAAGAAAAAAAACGAGAGAACTGTTAAACGATAAAGAAAGATTAGAAAAAAAACTATTCCGTTGACAAAGCAACAGAACGTGAGTTTCAACATATTTATTTTGTGGCAGCACTATTCTTCTGGCCTTCATTTTTAAGAATGCAAGCGCTGTTTTTTTTACTTAGAGAGTATATGCAGAAATGGTAATATCGTCTAGTACATCCTGTTCATTAAGAAAATGATTCCTTTTTTGAATAATACAGTAGCCGCCATAAGTGGGCGCGAGAAGAACAATGGATAAGACAGAAGAGTCATTTTTTGATATAATATTTTCCATAAAGTCGATCAAATTTTCAGCAAATTCATCAGATAAACTTTTTCATTCTTTTTTTTATCCTTCTGCAGAAACTATTGATTGATGTTGGTAGTATTCTGTTTATTTTGAGCTTCATCAGAGTCCAAATATTTTCAATTGGCGTACAGTGTGGGGATTGTGAGGACCATGATAATGATTGTATATTATTGTTAAGCTTGAGTTATTTACTCATTTCTGAGGTGTGTTTCGGATCATTATCTTCTAAAAGCTTCGTATCACAGCTATTATCATCAAACCGTCTTTTTACTGATGGCAAGAGATCATTTTCGTAAATTTTGCGCATCAAATCTGAATCCAACGTTTGCTTGAATAAAAACCAATTTCCTAAATCCATATTTTCTGAAACAATCCCAAACATGAATTGCTATCGGATCCACTTATGGTGGATACTGTAGCATTATGAAACAAGTATCAAACTTTGAATAAATCGTTGCGCACTGAGTTTATCTTCAATATTTAGTGATCTCAGTTGACGTGTACGCTTCTTTTTTTAGATGAAAATATTTCTTTTGTAATCAATCTATTCCAGTTTATTCGTGTTGCAATCGACTTATTTTAACTGTACAAAAGCTCATGGTTTTGTGTGAAAAACTCGAACGTGTCAATAATACAGTCCGAAGTTAATCGCTTTTCTATTGGTTTATACCTGATAATAATTGCATCCATTGACAGAGATAAAAACAGACAAGACAAACTAAACAACTCTTGCAAAAATCGAATAGAAACGAAAGAATATAAATGACTGCATTTCTCTAATAAATCATACGAACCAAGAATCAACAAGGATAATATGAAATAAAACAATCGACTTCCAATTCGGTCATCATCAAAGATGGATTGTTGCACTGATTCAAGCATTGTAGAACAGTTTCGTTTGGTCTGGCTTGATGCTCATCTCGATAAATCGAATGAAAACGTTTATCTTCTTAATTATTTCAGACGTGTGATGAAGAATATTGACATATTCACCAATTCAGAAAAATGTATTGATTTTCTTTCTCAAATCATTAATGAACAAGTCTTTATGATTGTCTCTGGAAGTTTGGGACAAAATATTGTACCTCGTATACATGATATGCAACAACTCAATTCAATCTATGTGTATTGTACAAACGAATCACGTCATGAAAAATGGACATGTAATTGGTCGAAAGTAAAGGGTATTTTTACTAAAATTGATTCCATACGTATTGCACTACAACGAGCTAAACGACAATTGAATCAGAATTCCATTGAAATTAGTTTTATCTCAATCAATGAAACAACTGTTCAAGATGTACATGAACTCGAACCATCCTTCATGTATACCCAACTTCTCAAGGAGATTCTAATGGAAATCAATGACGAAAATGATACAAGAGCAATCGAAGAATTGTCTGTCTATTGTCATAATCTGTATGCTGACAATAAAGTTGAATTGAATAATATTGATCAATTTGTACGAGAGTATCACGATCATACACCCATATGGTGGTACACATACGAATGTTTTTTATATCCAATGCTCAATCGTAGTTTACGCATGCTCGAAGTGAATGTTATACTCAAAATCGGCTTCTTTCTTCGTCATCTTCATCATCATATTGAACAACTACACAAAGAACAATCCGATGAACATCATATTCCATTTACTGTTTATCGTGGTCAAGGCTTATCAAAAGCAAACTTTGATAAGTTGTTTGGAAGAAAAGGAGGATTGTTAGCATTCAATAATTTCTTATCTACTAGTATGGAAAGAAAAATCTCTGAGAATTTTGCTCTTTGTGCATTAAGCAATCCAGATTTTGTCGGTATTCTCTACGTTATGACAGTCGATCCTGCTGTATCCTCTGCTCCATTTGCTTTAGTCAATGATGTCAGCTATTATAAAGACACCGAACAAGAGATTCTTTTTTCGATGAACACAATATTTCGTATTAGTCAGATCGAGCAAATCGATGGCAACGATCGTCTCTGGGAAGTGAAACTCATTCTCACTGCTGATAATGATCCAGGACTAAGTAATCTACTTGAACGTATTCGAGACGAAACTCAAGGAGCAACTGGATGGCTACGATTATGTCGATTGTTAATGAAACTAAATCAGACTGAAAAAGCCGAACAAGTGTATAAAGCATTACTCGAACAAAATCCCGCTGATCCAATGAATGGCTATTACTATCAACAGCTTGGATGCGTCAAATACCAACAAGGCGAATATCAGCATGCAATTTCTTACTATGAAAACGCTCTTGAAATTTTCTTAAAGTATCTTCCGTCAAACCATTCTCATGTAGCAACATCGTATAACAGCATCGGTGCAGCATATTTTGGCATGGGTGACTATACGAAAGCAGTTTCTTTTTACGAGAAGAGTATTGAAATTCGTCAAGAAACTGGTCCTTTGAATTATCCTTCATTGGTCAGTCCGTACAACAACATGGCAATTGTACATACTAAAATGGGTGAATATTTCAAAGCGATTTCATACTATCAAAAATGTCTTGATATTGAAGAAAAAATTCTTCCGGCGAATCATCCTGATTTAGCTCTATCTTACAATAATATTGGTGGTGTATACGATTGCATGAAGGATTACTTGCAATCACTTTCGTTTTATGAAAAAGCTTTGAAAATCCGCCAGAAATCGCTTCCTGAAAACCATCCAGACATAGCTGAATCCTACAGTAATATAGGTGCAATCTATACAAATATGGATGAATACGCAAAAGCACTTGAGTCACAGGAAAAAGCCTTGCAAATCCGTCAAAACAGTCTACCTCCAAATCATCCGGACTTAGCTGTTTCATACAATAGTATCGCTCAAGTGTATGGTAAAATGGGTGAAACTTCAGACGCGCTCGCATACTACAATAAAGCCTTAGAAATTCGTCGAAAAATTTTCCCGTCCAATCATCCTGATTTAGCAACATCTTATAACGACATTGGCGTCTTGTATGGCAATATGGGAGAATACTCAAAAGCAATTTCGTACTTCGAAATTGCAGTCCAAATGGCAGAACTTTCATTACCTCCCAATCATCCTGATCTTCAACAATTTCGCCAAAGTCTTGAATATGTCAGAAGAAAACTGTAATATAAATTTCTAAAACATAACATCAATGCATTCGAAATTCGCCCATTTCTTTCTACAAAGTGTCGCAAAAGGCATACTACCCTTCAAAACCTTGCCAAAGAAGCGTGTTCTTCCACGAGTTATGAGAAAAATACTGTTTTTATTTCCTGTGTCAAGAATCAACGATATCTGATTTTTTTGATTAATTCCCCACATTTGCGAAGGGTTCATGAAAAACTAAAGTTATCCTGGTTTACTTTTACCTTATACAGCTAGAGACTATTTTGCATGGTTAGTCCTTTTAGTCGCTTAAATCCTCTAATTCGCTTGTTTTCAGAACTGTGTTAGCTCAAATGAGCATTGATATCAATAAAAAAAGTTATCATTCGCTTAATTAAGCTTGCGAACTTTAACACTTTTGTCATAGATTATGTAAAGATCGTCTACAGTTTAAATGATGAAACCAGAAAAAATGATAAAACTTCGAACGGGCCCCAGAAAAGAAAGAAATTGTTTCAGTCATATTCAACGTCAAATTTTATCTTGAATTAAAGTGATGATGGCATCAAATCAACTAATTCGAGTTTGGGGAAAACCAGGCTTTGGAAGTCTGCCAAGAGATTTCTCAAAAATCGGTGGAAATTCTTTCATCCTTCACATCAAATTTGACATGATTCAATGTGCCTTTGCACACAGATTCAGAATTTCATCTTCAAATTCAGTTTTGAACTCGTTTTGGTGAAGAAAATTGGCAAAAACTCTTACTCAAACGTGCAAAAAAGGCTATTTTTGACGTTTCCTTTCACCAGTATATTCAAATTTTCTCTGATAAAACATGACTTTTTTCAAAAATTGTTTTTATGAAAATGCTTAGAGTTTAAAGCTCTACCAACGTTGAAAACCATGCAAAAATCTAAGGAACCTTTTGTACGGCGTGGTCGCGATCCGGTGGAAATACGTAGCACTGAATTATACAATCCTTTCACTATTTATCTTGATGAGAATAACGCAGTGTTGAATGGACGCACGAGACCAACTATCGGATTTAGAACTTTTTTCGTGATAGCAACAGTGTGGCTGGAGGATCGTAGCAAGTAGAAATGGACCTGGACCGGCTTTGAACCAGCTGAATACATCATGTAGCTTTATTGTCGCACGCACAGATAGTTTAATCTACGACTCATTTAACAGCAATCACCGATTTGTTCAATGGAAGGCTAACGCCATCCAAGGCATAGTTTTCGCTGGAAGCCGAAGTAATATACCGGGAAAAACAGCCCTTCTTTTAAACGCACCATCTGTAGTACAGTTGGACGCGAACGAAACGTTCTTCTACGTCTTCGAGTTGACTAATAACAGAATACCACGCTTTCCAATGAGTTCATGAATTTCTGAACATCACATTTTATCTTGTTTTTTGTACTTGATTTTTGTGTTAATAAATGTTGTCGTTAAAATGAACGGGATTTAAAGAAAACTGATGAGTGTAATAATCAAATTCGTCAAACCAAGAGCAAAAAGAGGCAGCGGATGTATTCCGAAGCGAAGATCAAATGCTCTGTATTACGCGAAGAAACGAATTTTCAACATTATCGGCATCTTAAACTTTTCTTTCGGATAAGAGAAAAATAAAATTCTCTGTTGTTCAACTTAATCTTTTGACTCATATATCTTTCCTAATAATAAAACTATTCTTTTTTTTTCTTCTGTTGAGTACAAATTGTTCAGCATCATTATGAAAAACATGTTTACCTTCCTTCTCGCTGTTCTATTTGCTNGCATCTATGATTTTAGGCATTACTTCGTATCGTAGGACAAACGAGGAACCAACTGTACCGATCCATTATGTTTCTCACTGTTGCTCAATTGAATGACGATAAAACGATTAAAATTCCATTAACCATTGAAGATGGTAAGAGAAAAACCACGTTTTCTGCAAATAATATATGACATATTTTATTTTCATTGATAGTGCATGTTCTGTTTTACTTATACTATGCATCGGTGATTTCAGAAAGTCAAATGGCTTATGAGCTGAAGTGTAGCGAGATATTAAATGGTTTTTTTGCCATTGGACGTTGTCAGTGTTATTCTTTTAATATTGATGACACGTGATATTTGTCATTCAAAGTATCTACATCATAGCAAACCAATTGAAAGGACAACATTCGGGAATAAGATGCACACGTGACTGCGCATCATTTCATACATGTCTTTTTCGTGTATTCTTTAACTCTTCAGTTTACAATTTTCTTTTCAACTATTGTCAAATTTTAGTTATTTGTATTTGTATCTGACATGTGTGGTATAACGATTGATTTAAATTCATGTAGACAGGTGAAAATAAATTACTTACTCATACTTCTCTGGCAGAGACCTTAGCGTGTCAAATTGAATTTTCTGTTACTAATAAGTAAAAAATAAGACAGTTCTCAAACCAGAATACTAAGTATAAAAGATTCGAAAAAGCTGGTAATATGCATATCCATTCGCTGAAATTTAAAAGAGATAGGTGAGTGTAGTGCTGATGACAGATTACCAGAGACAGTAAAAGACTTAGGATCTTCGCTACTTCTAAAAGCAGCTCACAACACAATAGAGATGCATTTCGATCAGTAGCGAAACTTTAGTTCTCTTACTGCTTTTAAAAAGCTGTGACTTGAGCTATATCGACTTTCCATTTTCTTTGGTGTATACATCTAGCAATCTCGTTTTCATCACTCAACCGTCTGCGTAAGAGAAACGATCGATTAACCTAGTGGTCAATTTAACTGATGCGTAGTTATTCACATCGTTATAACGACGTAAGTTACAGAAGAAGAGAAATAAATGTTGTATACATCAATAATCATTTAGAAAGTTGGATTATCTTGTAGCTACAATTGTCACCAGCGTGAAGGTAATTCCCTATTTTGCATAAATAAATACATTCTAATTCAGCGACCTGCAAGAAAGTAGCTGAATTTCATTCAAAGGTCATTCCTTTCAGTAGAGGGCTTAGCGACGTTTGCGTCCCGTTACTTGTCTTGTTAAGCGTCATTACAAATTCACAGAACCAAATTGTTAGCGCATTTGGTTGTTGCGCCTACAGAAAAGCCTAGCATTAGTTTTTCTTTTCTTTTTCAAATATTATATCTTACACTCTCAATTAACGAACGACGCAATAAACTCTAAGTACAACTTTATATACAGATGCTTTACACGGTTTTGCCAAATGTTTCTTATATATTAAAAAAACGTTCCATTTACTTTTAGATATCGGAATTTCTAACTCGATAATTATGATAAAATGGCTGTGTAATATTTATGTAATGCGACAAATCTTTGTCATAAATTTGCCATTGTAAGCAGAGGAAAAAAAGAATCCTTCGAGTATTGTGTGTAGTCGAAAAGACGTATTATATAATCTCAATATGAACGTCAATCACCAATTTAATATAATATTTTTCATATTCATCCTATATGATGTATGTATTGCTTCTCATTTAATGTATGATACAAACCGTCATAGTAATACATTCGATTGTTTACATCTTGTACATGCTCCACCGGATTATGTAGGACCTATTTTTACTGAGGATCCTAAATTAGTCTTTGAGATAGTACGCTTTTGTCGTCGATCAATCGAACGAGATAATAATTGGTTATTTATTAACAATACAAAGATGATTCATGGTCGTCAATTCACATTCAATCAATTACGTGAAATGAATATTTCAAGTGATCGATTACTTGAATGGTATGCACCATTGGATATAG